CCAGAGAGTTTTGCTTCACAACGAAATTCGTGCTCCCTTATTTTCATTTTGACGGAGTTCAATGTTGATTCTTTTACTTTTATTTGGCTTTGCTTTTTATTTTCGCTCAATTTCATTTTTATAGTTTTTCAAAACAAAATAAGAAACGTCTGAAATGAAGTGAGCATACAAATTTTTAATTTATTTACTAAGCAAATGTTTTTTTCGGCTTTTGCAAATTAAATAAGTCTTCTGTTCTGTTCTGTTTAAGAAATACGTGTATATTAGGAATGGTAATCCCGGGATCCCGATTTTTTTTAAGTCCCGAAAATCCCGAGATTATTTGTCTAGAATCCCGGGATTTCCGGGATTTGTAGTTTACACTGGTGGCAATAATAGAAACGCTTTATGTTGACCAGTTTTGGCTACATTTCTTTTGTTTATTTAATATTAAATTTTTTTTATAAATGTGTAGCTCAATATACATATAATACCAATTGTGCACACACAAAAAATTAATATATTCGCCAAACCAAGGGCCAAATGTAGTAAAATTGCATTCTTATTTTTTCTCTCTGACGTCAGGATTTTGAAAGAGAACTTTGAAATTTGAAAGATATGAGTAATTCAAAAAATTATTTAAAAATTTCAGTGCAATATACTTAAGAAACCAGTTAGGTATCAAATGAAAGAGAAGATTCGGTACAGTTAGAACACATTACATTTTTTGATCCGTAAGGGACGGGTAGGTATTGAAAATACTCTTTTATAATTTTATCCTTGAATATCCTTGAAATTTTTCAATTCTTATTTTTGAAAAAATTATATGTGAAGGACTAACATTATTAGCTTAAAAAAATAAAATAGATTAAAGGGGCATTTTTAATTCCTATTCGTCCTTGTGAACCACCCAAAAAAATTATTTCATTTAGTACCCATACTTTTGTTTTACATTGCATTGAATTTTTTAAAATAAATTTTGGAATTAACCATATCGAGCCCTAACCGCCAAACTAACGTAAGCGACATTTTTTTTCTTTTTGATGCAGAAATATTCCTAGAGCATCTAGATGGATTTCTGCATCGAAAAGAAAATTGTGAAAAAAATGTCGCTTACGTTATTTTGGCGGTTAGTGCAAAAATGGATGAATGGTGTTCGTTTTTTATTATTTTTTTAATTTTTTGTCAAGCTAAAATTTTTTTTGATAATTTTATATAAAAATATGGTTCATGCTTTAACAAAAACTATATAAATGACACTTTCAAACTTTATACAAAACTTAGAAAAATTCCATAAATTTTTATCTGAATTTCGAGCTTTTTAACCAGAATTTTTTTGGGTATGCAGTTAACGAGCTTATATAATTCTAGTAAAATAAGTGCAAGTTTTGTGAAGCTAAAAAATCGCATTGATTTTTAATCATTTTTTTTGCCGACGGCTTTTTCGGGTTTTTTCACATAAAAAGCAAAATTTAGAAAAACAGGCCTTGACTTTTTTTATTTTTACCGCAAAAGATCTTGCGCATATTTTTCCACATAAAATTTATATAGTTTTTGTTAAAGCAAGAACCATATTTTTATATAAAAATATCAAAAAAATTTTAGCTTGAAAAACATTGAAAATATTAAAAACGAAACAACATTCATCCATTTTTGCCCGCCACTGTAATTATGTGTAACATGAAGTAGACATTTATAAAAAATATAAATTTAGGATAAACAAAGGGAATATAGACGAAACTGGCCGAATTAAGGCGCTTCTTTTATTTCTGCCACTCGAATTATGAATTTCTTTCAACCAGAAAATAATTTTTTTGGCTTATTTTTTCCATCAGATATGTACACACTAAAGTATTATTAAATGCACATAAATTTAATTACTGTCTGTCGTTTTGTTACTTATGAAATAATTTTCAGTTTAAATAAAAAGGTACGTTACAAACCCATTTACTTATTACTTATTACATCGATGGCTGAGTGGAAGATCGACCTATCTCGGCAGCCAGTTCGAAAAAGCTTTATCTCAAAAAACTTTTCAAGAACGCCCTATTTCAAAAACGCCCTATCACAGCTGCCGATTCAAAAACGCCCTATATCAGCATATTTTCAATACATTTTGAAGTGAGATAGGGCGTTTTTGAACTGAACTTTGAGATAGGGTGTTTTTCAATTAAATTCTGAAATAGGGCGTTCTTGAAAAGTTTTTTGAGATAGAGCGTTTTCGAACTGGCTGCCGAGATAGGTCGATCTTCCACTCAGCCATCGATATGGTAGGAGAGCTTCTCAAACCATATTGATGCAATTTTTTCATGTTAAGTCATTGAAAAATAGTAAATATCTAAATCCCGGGACCGATCCCGGGATTGAACCAACGACATCCCGAAAATCCCGGGATCGCAAAAATCGAAAAAATTTACCTCCCTAGTGTAAATACATACTAGGGATGTTGCGAATGTGGAATTTTAGACATCCGCGGATGCGAATGCGGATGTCATGTATTTTTAAGAAATAATTTAGGTGGGTAAATTAGGTAATTTAGGTAAATAAAAAATGGAAAGGTTAATAATTTGTAATAACCGGCCTTATCCTGAGTTTTGCCCGAAAAAAAATTTGTATTCCGCCCATTGTAAATATGTACATGAAATCCAAAAGTGAAAAGTTAACCCGTTCGGGGAAAATTAAACTCATGATAAGACTGAATGTTTTTTAGTACTTGAATTTAAAAATTGGAAGATTGTACTTAATAAAAACTTCTTGAAGGGCCGTAAATCAAACCTGTGCCACTATATAACTACTCGCTCGAGGCGACAAACTTGAAATGGGCAAAATTGTAAATTCTTTTCGATTGACGCTGCACCAGTTGAGAGGACTTTCAGTTATATTTATTTATTTTTATTGCGGTGCAATAATTACGTTTTGAGAATTTCATCGGGTCTGCAAATGTCGGATGTATCCTCCTGACTTTCATCTTCACAATCTAGCATCATGGCACAATCGTTGTTTAAACACCGTTTTTTTTCGAAAGAATTCTTCATTCTCATTCTTTTGGTTGTTTCGGAATTTGTCACGTCATCAGCGTTTTTTGATTTTAGTTTTTGTAACTCATTTTTAATGCTTTCTTCTGTGACAGAGACTGAAAATAACAGTTACTTTATTCCGAGTTAAATTTGGCCTAATAATTTTTATTCCGAAATAAAAGTGCTATCCGGATAATAAAGAAACCGCTTATCCAAATTAAACAAATTTGGTATCATATGAAAGAGGACTGAAATAGCTTTTAAACAGAAATTACGAATGAAGGTTACCACCTCTATTTATATTTTTTTATAACTTAATACTAAAGAAATTCATGTAAATACATACCCGACCCAATGTTTGTTCTATGGTAATTAATTAACATTTTTATTGAAATATTTTTCAATGTGTGGCTTTCCTCTTTGAGACGTTTCAGTTTTAAAGCTATTTAAATCCTCTTTCATTGGATACCAAACTTGTTTTATTTGGATAAGCGGTTTGTTTATTATCTGGAAAGTACTTTTATTTCGGAATAAAATATATTTGGCCAAGTTTAACTCGTAAAAAAAATAACTGTAATTTTCGGTCCCTTCAATATTCGCATTCGCAAAAAATCGGCATTGATTTTCGTGAATGCGAAAGCAAATGCGAATGTTAAAATTAATGCGGAAGCTGATACATACATACATATATGGTATATGGGTTGTGGAAGTATCCCTTTTCCCTAGCAGTAAACCTTTTAGTGTGGGCAACAATGATGTTTTTTAAATAAGACAGATCGGAATATGCGCTCTCTGGGAAGACAATGCATGTAATTATTGTACCATACTTCTACCTCTGTTTATTTGCCTTGGATGTATATGCGTGTAAAAAAACACGCCTTAAGATACGAGTACTTAAGTGTAAATAAGTGAATCCAAATCCGAAGTCGGTTTTGGCCTAACAGCCTCAAATTTTTTAGTAAACTGCAAAAAGGCCACTGGGTATGAGCTAATCCATAGGTCGCGCATTTAAATAAAGCTACTGTTTATGGCGTGTTGAAATAACTTTTTTTATTTCCTGAAGTTTAAATTAGCACTGAATTGCTCCATTTTACAGGTTTAAAATTGTCCGAGGTTTTGCAGAGGGAACAATTCGCAGTGTTAACTTCGCAGTTGTCTGCATGTAAAATGCATTGAACTGGAACCAGTACTAACCACGAAAATTAGGTTAAGTATGTGACTATTTCTGATCTGGTACAATTGCTTTCAGGGGAATGAGAAGTATATAGATTGTGTAACTTGACCACCACCAAAAGTAAGAAATTTACCCTTAATCTACTAATATTAATGGCATGGATAAAGACCAGCAATACTATTAATGGTATAGCTATAAATATATATACATACATATTGTCACCATAGATGCAAAATGCCCCATGACACCTTTTTTTGCTTCTCCTTACAATTTTCAAAATTGTCAAGAAGGGCCATATGCATTGACGTTGACGGTATATCGAGCCCTAACCCCCAACATAAAGTAAGGGAATTTTCGTTTCAATAGTTTCTTTTTGATGCAGAAATGCTCATAGAGCATCTAAGGGTCGTTTGTTCAATGTCAAGTTAACACAAACCGGAGCTAGAATCTGCGGTTAAATACAACGATTGCTTTATCGATCACATGCTAGTATATGAATGATGACGAAAACGTCTATAATGTTGTTTATCTGGGAGGTAGTGATGAACAGACATTGAAGAATCGGCCCTAAATGGTTCGGGGTTAGGGCTCGATATTCTTAACCATACTCTGCCCCACAACCAATATCATAACCAGTACCAATATCAATACTTTCATAACTAATCAATATCAATCGCCGAATAGTAGACTAGACGAGCAAAAGTGGAAATTACACTTACGACCACCTGGATGATCACTTTGGATCTTCTTTTGTTGCTGTTGCAGCGAAGAATGCATTAAATCACCGTCAGTCCGTTGACGTTTTCGTCTTAATTCCTCTGGTCCTATAAGCAAAAGAGTTTTCAATTTATTATCTTCACCATATAAAACAATTCTACTGGTACATCGCAATAAAAAGGGCTCTTAAAATACTTTTTACGTATTTCGTTAATTAATTCATACACATACATACATGACTTCAAAATCTCAGCTAAACAAATCTTAAAATTAAATATATAGTAGTTCAAATTTATAAATAGGTAAGTTTTTTTTAACCTTGACTACAATAGTGTACATAGTTTTTGCAAAAATTTTAGAGTTATCCAATGCTTTTGTAAGTACAATATATAGTTTTAACAATTTTCGTTTCTTATTTTTAAGTCTAAGAATGACGTTGTAATGACTAGTATTAAAATTTCTTTTTCAACGCACTGCATTTATCAAAATTCTATGAGTGACGTTTCCTTTGACAAATGTCATTTATAAAAAGCGTTGTACAAACGCATGCAAATTCAGCTTTAGTAACGAAGTCCCAAGGGACGTTTTCCGCCTTCGACTGTCAAAACAAAATGCTTTATTTCAATTAAAATTGATTTATACATGCAAACGTAGATATGTATGTATATACATATACATACTATGTATGTACATATGTGCCTTCCAAGGTTTATTGGGGCAAAATACCAGTTAAAGGTATTTATCGATACAAAAAACAATTACAACAAACATTTGTGCTTGGCTGCTTTGGAACAGCGGTTCCATTAAACCAGCAAACATTTCATTTTTTAAATTCAAAAAGTGGCTAATTAAAGTGGTTGCAGGAAGATACAAATTGGCTAATAAACAACGTACTGCCTTCCACACTCTTATAAGTCGCTATAATTCTTACGCTGCTCACAAATTCCGTATAAATACGGCCAAAAAAACATATTTTCTCAAGAAAAATTTTATTTAAAAGTAACCAAGCTCTAGTTAGAAGAGCAAACTACTCCCTTTCAATTGATGTTGTTCGCTGCCGCCAACCGCCTACCGATCTCATCGGGAGTCAAAATTTCGCCCGCGTCGACAGCTGCGTAGTAAGCCGAGGCTTCGTCAAACTCGCTTGTCGACGCCTGGGGCGGTATGCTAGTGTACAAAGCGAAATGTTCCGCTTCTGTTAAATCTACATCGGGATCGAGTTGGACATTGAAGGCCCCCTCGCATAGATTACGCAAGCTTTGGCGATCTGCTATGGCTACCAGCTCCATATTACCCTCACATATTGGAATATCTGCAAGCTGCAAGGCGGATACAGTTTTTCGATCGAGTGTATTACTCAGAGTTACCGTACTGGCGTGCGAATAGGCCTCATTCTGTGGCAGACTATTTACACTGTCACCTTTCAGTGGTATGTGTATGACGTCGGCGGTTAGACGTGGTGGACGTTTACCGGAAACGCTACTTACACTGCGGCCCACTGGGCGGCTTGGCTTGGCTCCCTTATTGGGGCTTGTCGGTAGAGATGTCGGTTGTAGTGATTTAACTGAAGCGCGATTATGATCGTTCAGACGGAAGTGAGCAATACTTGGTTCGCGGCTCATATTCGGTGTGGTTCCCTTGGAATTGGAGCCGGAAACCTCACCACTTTGACTTAGATCTGATTTACTTTTACGGCGGGAGAAGATCTTCGAGAAGAAACCTGGTTTCTTTTGCTTCGGTAAGGTGTTTGAATTACTTGGATTGTTAGGTTTCGGGGGCAAACGTTTTGAAAGTGGCGTTTGGTCGGGCGTCTTTTTGATGATGATCGGCGCAGGCGAGCGAGATATGCGCTCTGCTGCTTCGCCAGCATTGGCCTCAAACGCTCGATTTTCCACCGTCGTACCATCCTGCTTGCGTATACGTTTTGGTGGTAAGGGTGGCAATTTCTCTTCCTCGGCTGCAGTCACATGCAGTTGAGGTGATGGATATTTCAAAGAATTTGGACGTGGCGGTAAAGCCGCTTGTTGGCTTCGTGGTTGGTTGAGCGGTAGCATTGGCAGCTGCTCCAGCGCAGCAACGGCGGCATCAGCACTCAATGCGAAATGGTCTACATGATCGTAATGTAATGCGTCCTCTGGTGCAAGTTGTGAGGCTGGTGGGGTAGGTGGCATCAAAACGTCTAATGGTATATCTACTGGGTTTTTAAAAGCTTTCTGTAAACTACTATACGTGGCCGCATCATCAAAACTGTCATCTACCTCCATCGGGTATCTCTGAGCACCCTGTTTAGTTTTAACATCATTTACTTCACTGAGCTTAGCAGTGTATGTGTCACGATGCAGGACATGACGCGTGTAGATTTCATCGAGTTCGGCGGCCTCATCCAAAAGCGCTGTAAGCACCTTATCCTCATCGATGGAGGCTATAGAAGCCGCACCGTCGGGCGGTGGCGAACCTTCGTTCTGCTGCAAGTCGTTGGATTTCATCCACTCATTGATTTTTTCGTTAACAGAGATCACTTGCTGTTGTTCTGATACGGGAAATACGGTTTGCGGTGCTACACCCGCTTGCACCTCCTCTGGCTGTTTTTGAACTTGTTGCGGCGCTGCAGCTTGTTGCAGCTCTACATATTGTTGGCCCACTTGTGCTTGGTTCAGCTGTTGTTGATCTGGTTGTTCCAGCTCGCGTACTTTTTCGTCTATAATCGCATCGATTTCATTCTCCCTTCGCCGTTTGTCCGCTTCTTCTGCTTCCACTATGATTGCATTATTAAAAAGTTGATCCACCTCCTGGTGTGGAGCTGCGGTCGGCGTATTTAAATCTATAACCTCTAAAACAGCTGGTTTTATCGCGCCAGCTGCGGCTAATATTTCTTCAAATATGTCTTCGTCAGGCTTCCTTTTGAGCATACGACGTAAATTCTCTATAGAGTACCTACCCGATTCCGCCGGCACATATTCAAACTTCACACGATCGCTGACAGCTCCATCTGAAGGTCGTTGCAGTTGCACAAATACCTGTGGGAGGGGGAAAAGTGGAAAATTAAGCATTAAGAATATCGCTAGCCTAGAATTAAAACATGTTAATTCCAGTTTTTTTTTCAAGTTTTACAAGGGAGAAAAAACCTTCGTAAGCCAATTTTCTTCAAATTTAAAAAAAAAATCGGTAATAGCATTTTGGCTTAAAGGGCACATACAAGATACCAGTATGCTGGCGCCATCAAGTGTTGGTGCCAGCCGATTGACAGTGTATGGCCTTGTGGTGTGATTGTACCAGCTGCTGGCGTGACATCAAAAACGATTTGATATTTTTATGATTGTATCAGCATTATGGTGTTTTGAATGGTGAGATTAGCCCTTTTTTAAGTAAAAAGTATTTTGGCTTAAACTTCTTACATTATATGAGTCAAAGCCGTGTTTGTGGTACATTAAAGTTAATAGTATTGCAGTTGTAAAATAAAAAGCCGATGTTTAACCAAATGGTAGAAATATTATGAAATTTCGCTTCTACTCATTTCGATATTTTCCGGTCCTCATTTGTAAAAAAATAAATATTGTACCAGTATGCTGGATGTTATATGCTTCGAACTTGATGGTAAAATCACTCGATACTCACAGCAAGCTGGTGTCGTGTATTTCCCCTTTTATGCAAGCAAAACATAACTCCATACGAATTGGCAGATCTCGAAGTTTTTCTTTAACAGCGGTCGCCCCTCGGCTGACAATGGCAAACCACCGAGTGTATTTCTGCCATGAAAATGGCTTCTCATAAAAATACAATCGCCGTTCGGAGTCGGCGTAAAGCTGTAGGTCCCTCCCCTTTGTGTGACAACATCAAGGCGCACGCCACAAATTGGAGAAGAAGCTCGACCAAACACTAAAATATGTGTAAGCGCCAACCTGTTATATACATGTACATAAGTTTCGTTTTTTTGAACTATGCATTTTAATTTTCATTGCTAGCGAATTCTGGCTAAAATAGCCAGTCTCACGAAATAAATTTAAGTGAAACATGGTTTTTTTTTTTGAATTTAATATGGGAACTGACAGATTTGTTACTTAGATTGCTCTCGTGAAACCGCCAGTTAGAGGTTATGAATTATCCCATTAGAGTAAGTGGGCCCTGAATTTACCAAGATTAATATTTTTCAATGATATTCAGGCAGCGCCGAGCTTTGTAGTCGAAAAGTACACAGTGTAAATTTTGTTGCAAAATCCCAAATAGTTTTTTTTAATCAATAATAGAAATTATTCTGTGTTTTGGAATTTTTTATTTTTCTTTGAAAGTAAGTGTCTGAATGAAACAAGTTTTTGCGTGCAGATTTTTTGGGTGCAGAAATGCACGCATTTTTTTCTTAGATAAATGCAGAAATGTTTATTACATAAGTTGTTGTTAAAAATTTTCGTCCACGAGGCGCAGAAATTGTTTAAATGTTCAATTGTTCATGAAAAAATTTTTGAAATGCAAAAAAAAAAATTTATTTTTTATTGTATAGTTTAATGTTTTTTAAATCTGCACCCAAAAAATTTTTTCATTCGGACTATTAATTTCAAAGTAAAATAAAAATTTCCAAAACACTACAAAAATTTTTCAATTGTTGATTAAAAAAAATCTATTTGGAATATTGCAACAAAATTTACACAGTGTACTTTTCGACTTCAAAACTCGGTGTTGCCTGAATATCATTGAAAAATATTAATCTTGGTAAATTCGGGGCCCACTTGAGGAAGCCTTAACCATTATTATTTTTATTATCGTTTATCAAAAACCCTTTGTTACACAGGGAAATTTTCTTTGACAAGAAAAATTGTACGAGCTCTTGATGGATGTGACGGGAAAAGTCGTTTCAGTGAATTTGCCCGAAAGGACTATGGCCCATTTCATTATAATTTGATTTATTTATTCAAATTGAATATAATTTTCTGGTAGCAGTGCAATTAAGCTTTAAATATTTTAACTGCCTTCAGACAATTACTTAATTTTTCTCTGAATTGTTTTTTTTTGCCGATATACGTAAATGCATATCTGTGTTCGTATGGAATAGTAGCTTATGTCGAAAGGCTGGCTTTTGTATAATGCGGCATTCGCAGCATACGATTTCGAATGACTCACTGGCGCCGAGCCGTTGAAGAACCTTGGGCAAATAAACGTGCAAGTTATTTATTCATCGATTTTCTTCATAAGTCATTTGATTTTTTTTTGTAACAGAACAGGCTTTAGCACAAATTAAAAAATTTGGCACAGAACACGTTATTTTAAAAATTTTTTTTCTGGTAAAGTTTGATTTTTTTAATTTTTTCATTATAGATTAAAAAAACTGGAATGATTATTTAATTTGTCAGAAACTATATCCCCGATCGGAAAGTATTGTATATAAGACTTGTGGAGATATTTAATAGCTTTCATTTGTCGTTTTTTATATTAAGGTTTTTAAATTAAAACGTAAGATATATGTGATTAAAAGGAACCAATTTTTGCTTTAAGCTGAATATCGGTAAATTGAAAATATCTCGAAAACGTATCCATAGAAAAAAATTAACTCGATTTCCGGAATCTCCGAACAGTTCTACGTAGGTATTGAATAGTGGCATCCATAGAACATTTTTGCTGTAAACCAGTGTAATTAGTAAGTTGATTTAAAAATTGGATATATGGATCATCCGGCTCTGTATCAAGTTATTCCCTCAACTTCAAAGCACTTCCATTTAAAAAGGGTAGAAACCTGGCTGCAGTCGACAATGAGCGAAAATGGATTGAACGGTAAACTATAAATAAATTTATAGTTCAAATGTTTACTACTTCGTCTTTAGGTTTGTGTCTTCTAAGCGTACATCGAACGTTTTGTATTACAGAACCAATCTAATATTATTGATAAAACTATAGACCACTTTGGTGAACAGCCAAGACATTTACTTCTTAAGTAATTACAGCAGATGGCAGAAAACACATAGCGCACATAAATTTCTATAATAAAAATAGCATATTCGAGGCTGCTAATATATCTATTTTAAATTATAGTTAAATCATTGGTTAAACTTTACTACAGAAAAATAAAACAGAATTTTCTGTAGTTAAGTTTAACTAATGATTTATTTGTACTTTAAAATAGAAAAGTTAACAACCCTTAATAAATTTTTTATTTATTACACGGTGTGACAAAACAAAAGAAATTAACACAAATATTTAGCATAAAAAATCTGCATACTCAATATGTTCAATACGTACATACATATGTATATAATTTAAGAGAAGGTATTTCGAGTAATATTATAGAGTATACGGAAAAGTTTATTTTTTTACATTTTGTATTTTGAATAACGGATGGTCCGGCTATTTGGTTTACTATACAGGTATGTACAGCTACGAATTTAAAAAATGCATCAAAGTTTATTTGAGATATTCGACTGCAAAGCTTTTGACTGCCATTCACCTGGGAGGGGCCAGAAGTAATTCGTGTGCTTACGATTCAAATCGCAGCTCACTTCGTCCGGATATTTACAGCCGTGAATCCTTTGGGTAGCGACCGAACACATCTTTGGGAGCGAGCTAAAGTGAGAGGGCGTAACACCCCGCGTGCGCTGGGTTTGGGTCCCGCCACGTTAAAACCCTGCCCAATGGAAAAAAAAACACATACCTCGGATGATACCCCCTTATTTTGATGACGATCACGGCAAACATAGGAAGGACTATGATTTGAGGGTATGCACCTGGAATATCCGAACCTTTAATCGGGAAGGTGCCTCTGCCCGGCTGGTTGATGTCCTAGGGAAAATAAAGGCTGACGTCACCGCCATCCATGAAATGCGATGGACGGGGCGAAGAAGGTAAGCGTGGAGCCTTTCGACGTCTACTACACTTGCCACTTAAAGGAGCACAAGTCGGTGTTGGACTTGTGCTGGGAGAGAGACCGGCGTTTACTCTAGTGGACGAACGTCTAGCCACAATTCGCACCAAAGCGAGATTCTTCAACATCCGAGGCATCCAAGGATCTCTTAACTTAGGGCGTACATATTAGCGCTGCCCTGACACGTATCAAAATCGTGCTTGGTGATTTAAGGGCCAAGGTGGGCAACGAAGGGATCTTTGGCGCCAGTGTCGGAAAATTCAGCCTCCACATAGAAACGGCGGACTGGGGCTAATCGACTTCGCCGGAGCCCGAAACTTGGCAGTATGTAGTACTGGGTTCTAGCATAAAAAGATCCATCAAGCTACATGGGTGTGTCCAGATCGAAAAACGGGAAACCAAATCAAGCATGTTGTGATAGACGGAAGGCATGCTTCCAGTGTTTTAGATGTGCATACGTACACTCCGAGGGCCAAACATCGACTCGCACCACTGTATTGATGCAGCGAATATACGACCCCACCTCGATGCAGCAAAAAAAGGGCCCCAACAATGCAAAGAAAGTTCAACGTCGAAAATCTGCAATCAAAACAGACGACCAATGGATTCGCCGCTCGACTCTCACACCTGCTGTGAGAGAGCACTCTTCAACAAACCGACATACGCGAGCAGTGGAACTACATTTCCCACTCATTACTGGTACATGAGGAGTGTCAAGAAGCTGCTTGAAATGCTGGCCGACAGCAAAAACACCCAAAATTTTTAGCGGAGAGTTGAGCGACTTACGGAAGGTTTCAAGACTCCTGTACTCAAATTATGGTGGGAACACTTTTCGAACCTTTTGAATGACAGAAGCACTGAAAGGAGTGAAGAAGACGAACCCTAGTCCCCAGTCGATGACGATGGAGTCGATATCCCAGCGCCTGACTAAGGCGAGGTACGAATAGCCATTATGTTGATGAAAAGTAACAAAGCTGCTTGAGCTGTTGAGCTATTCAATTACGATGGCAAGGAGCTAATAAGGTGCATGCCCGACGACTGGAACTCAAGTGCGCTCTGCCCAATCCACAAGAAAGGCGACCCCGCCATGCGTGCCAACTACCGCGGGATCAGCCTTCTAAGCATAGGTCGTAAGGTCTTATCGAATATATTATGTGAAAGATTGAATACCACCGTCAATGAACTGATTGGGCCTTATCAGCACTGTTGCCAACTTGGTGCTTTTCGCGCCAAATTTAGTGCTTTTCTTTATTCAAAACACGAAAATTTTAGAGTTTAGTGCTTAGTGCGTTTTTTGGTGATTTTGTTTTTAGTTTGAAGACACCAAATCTGTAAATCTTAACAAAAAGGTGGCAAAATATATAGCAATCGTAAATGTTTTAAGCCACTTTACAAAAATATAAACAAAATCATGTCACAATGACAATCATATGGGAGAGAGCATATATTGACCAACAAATTATGTAGCAGCAATTTCAATCTTGACAAAATTACATTCGGTAATTCGCCATTGCTGGGACCAGGAATCGCCCTTTAGACCTTTAGTTTTGGTTGAATTTGTTATATTTTTTTACGTCTATTCAAAAAAAGCAGCGGCATCTCCTAGCAGTAAAATTAATATCTAAGGAACCTTTTGAAAAAAGGGAATAATCAAAATTGGGTGGCATTTGAAGAGTGGACAGATTTTTTGACACACAATTTTTTTCCCACTATGCGCCAGTGAATACGCTCAAATAATTGCGTTTTCTGTTCTCGAGAAATATGTCACCTTCTCATATGGCAACATTATCAGGGTGCAACATTTTAAAGAAAGAGAACGCAATATGCATGTGAAGATACTGAGAAAGGAACACGAAAGCTTGACAGCCCTGGCGCAGGGCAGAATAAATACGACATTATTTCGAGAAAAGAAAACGCTATAATACACATTAAAAAGGAAAATCAAATTTTGTTAGGTTTCAGGTATTAAGCGGTCGAAAGAAAAGTTTTTGATGTTCCTTTAGTTAACAAGATCATAAGAGACAGCAGTGTAGATTTAAACTACCACATACTTCACGAAACTTCGTTTCTGGTTTTTGCTTTCGTTTCATAGGAATTGTAGAAAAAATTAAACAAAACGAAGAAAATTGTAACATTTAAATACTCCCATAAAAATTTGGTGCTTATTTCGAGAAAAAACGCGACTTTTCTTGGGTTTTAATGCTTTTTCAAATTAAAAACTTGGCCACACTGCTTTTTTTCTTAACAGCGGTCGTCCCTCGGCAGGCAATGGCAAACCTTCGAGTGTATTTCTGCCATGAAAAACAGCTTCTCATAAAAATACAATCGCCGTTCGGCGTCGGCGTAAAACTGTAGGTCCCTTCGCTTTGTGTGACAACATCAAGACGCACACTACAATTCGGAGGTGAAGCTCGGCCAAACACTAACATATGTGTAAGCGCCAATCTATTATTATTATTTTTATTATTACATACACGCGCTGCTCATTTGCCAGATATACAACTTTCAGGTCAAGTCAAGTCTAAGTCTTGCATAAACGAGGTTTTAGAAATCAAAAATCGACTTCACTTATTTTTATTTGTTTTGGTAAATACGTACATACACGCGCTGCTCATTTGCCAGATATACACTTAGGTCTTTTTTTATGCGGTGCATGCGTTCCTCAGAAAGCCGCATAAAAAAAAATCCGCATAAAAAAGTTCTTTACTTTCATACAAAAACAGGGGATGCGTTCCAGCATTTTCAAAAACCGCATAAATTCAGATAGTCCATGTAAAAAATTCTAAAAAACCGCATAAAATAATCCAGTGAGGCATAATTAAGCAAAAAAAAAACTATTTATTTCTTCACTTCAACACTTATTATTCCATGTAAAACTGAACATTAATGGAATATGTTTTTGTTATTTTTTATATTTTTTTTGGCCTTTATAACAATTATATTCAACAATTTATATTGAGCTCGAGGCCGCTTTCCACATTAATGGAATAAATAAAATTTTATCTATTTTAACAAAAAAATAAAAATAAATATACCACAATAAATACATGACTTATATAAGAATACAAAGACAAATTATTTATCAGAAGCATTGTCTCTTACACATTGAAAAAAGTAATAAAAACTGTCAAAAAAGCAAAATCGCTACTGCGAAATAATGATTTGAAACCCCGCATAAATTCAAATCCGCATAAAAAAAGCCGCATAAAAAGAGACCTAAGTGTACATATGTATATACCATTTTGATGTCAAGTTAAGTTAAGCCTTGCATAATAGTGCTTAAACAAAATTTAAATTTGTTTGGACAATTGATTTCCTCCATCACCCTCCCCCACGTTTCATATGTAGAGTTTTGCATGGCCAAGCAGTTCTACGTAAAAAAATGGACTTCCGAACTATCTGACATGACCTTGTATCAAATTTTCTTGTAAGTTCTTACCTCGACTGGTTCGGTAATGTTGGTCCTATGGAACTTAGGTGTCCTAAATGTAATTGCAGTCTGTTTGTGTACATCGTTGTGCTCGAATTCCCCAAACGCTTGCCAAATAGTAACACCATCTTTCTCTTCAAAGAAACGCACAGCAATATCCTCTTTGGCTACCTTCTCGCAGAGTAAAATGATTTTCGTGTTGCCCAGCACTGTAGCCGAACAACTGCATATACGACTAATAACGAGATCTGACATAGCCTTTTTGTCATAAATTGGTTCGGAGACGACAGGAGGCAGAGGCACCGTAAAGCGACCCATGTCACCTTTCAAAAATACTTGAAAACACAAACGCACTGCATTCAAGTCTATACTGGTGGGCTGAAAACGATGTGAAAATCCAGCTGAAAAGATACGAAGAATTCAGATTTTTATCAAATATCCAAAATCCTCTTTTGGACACTAACTTTTGAAGGGGTCGACCCGAATGTCTTCTCGTGCCTTTAGAGCGCTTTCAATGTCCTTTTTCTTGACGCATTGTATGCCCAAATTACTGAAAACGGCACGCATCGTTTCGCTGTTGATTTCTAAGGTACAAACGCCTTTCTTGCAGCCCTCCTTTCCTACCAAATTGTGCGGATGTGGTCTAATCAGGAAAATGTAAAAGTATTTTAAAATCTAGTTGAAAGATAAAGTTACTATGTGTTACTCACCGATATGGGGCATCTTTAGTCACACAGGACACGACTACAACGGCACGTCCCTTGTAACCAACAATTTCGATGGTGGGAAAGGTTTTCATTTCTGGCGTGGAGTTCACGCCCGGTATCGAACCAGCAGAACGACCTTCGCACTCGTAGCGAAATCTCAATGCTTTGCTGGCGGGTTGCTCCACAATTTTCACATATGCTTTTTTTGCTATTTTTTTATTGGGTGTCGCTTGCTGCTGAGACGACGATTGTAAATCTGCCTGTGATTGTTTCGGCTGGGCACCATTATAATTGAGGTTCTGCTGTTGGTGGTGTTGTGGAGACTGCTGGTGTAGCTGCTCGCCATTTGGACTCACATTTTGTCCTCCGCCCATAAGGGCGTTCCCTTGGTTAGTATACATATTTGGCGCAAATAAAAGTTTGCTGTAAAAGAAAAATGAAAATGCTTTCTGATTAAAATTATGTAAATTTAAGAAAGCAGCGAAAAACTATATATCGTTTTCCACAAAGTAGTATGAACATAGATTTATTTAACATATGTATATGTTTTGGTAAATATGTAGAATCTTATGTATGTATATTGAAATGCCTAAGACTTTAGTTCATTGAATTTCTAATTCGATTTTTTGTCTAAAAATTTCAGAATTCTTGCAATGTATGAATCGATGTGTATATATATACATATTTATGGACCAATTTTTCACACACGCTTTTCAGTACATTTCGTCTCTTTGACGATATTTCTTCTCTCTCTGCGTACTCTAGCTAATTTAATTTTGCACCAAAAATAAATCCTACGTACATCGCTCTGTCACCGAATTGATGCTGATGGCCGAGTAGACGTTTCGCTTTATCCCGATGTATCTTTCTTCTTCCGACCAAATTCTGTGATGATCACTATTTAAGTTGTCGGCAAATACTGAAACTCAAAAATTTTTAAAAGCGATTCCAACGACCTCCGGTCCATTAGTCTACGCGAAGCCGAAGAAGAAATTTATTTCACTCAAAAGAGAAAAAGTGAGCCGCAAGAATCGTCAGCCAAGCCGAAAATAAATTTTTGTACCTTCATAAATGTCCAAACGAAAACAGATTTTCAACTTTAAACTAACGCAAAATTATTTAAACATGTGCCGTGGCTAAAATACATAAATATGTATGCATGCGCGTATGAAGATACTTATGTACATATCGTCGTTTAAAATGCAAAACCGCGTATCAGCAAAATGCAAAACCGCATATGTGAGATTGCATAAATTATTTTCTAGAGAGTAAAAACACTAATATTTCAAAATGGTTATCTTTTTTTATAAAGCAATTGCATTTCTGGCAAGTATATGACGAATGGATAAGGATTTAGCCAAGGGCTTGTGTGAGCAAATCCAATTTTCGGCAGCCAATGTCAGTTACGCGGTTTTGCAGAACGACAATACGCGGTTTTGTACTTTAAACGACGATATGTATGTACATTGTACATACATATGCCCTGCGAACAATTGGAGGCGAATTTTATCGCCTATCGCCGCGATGTCACTACTTCGTCTCTATTGAAAGTTAATAAGGGTATAGTAGCTCAAAACAAGAAACATTTCTATCGCTTTATAACTTATTCGAGTTAAGAAGTTTTGATTTTGGATGAAAAAAGGTGAACCTTGTGACAGCGCTTTGGGTGTTGAAACAGCTTTAAAGAATCAGTCCGAATGCAATATTATTAATTTTGTCAAAATCACCTCACATTGGAACTGCGCACGTTCTTTAAGTTTTTCCTTGAATGGACCCACCATTAGAACGGGTCAAAAAAGTAGTTTGCGAAAAAAAACACCCCTTATTCGAAAGGAAGAAAGCAATTGTTTGGACCATTATAAAAAATGTATCGCAATATTTGCCATCAAAATGGTTAAATTAAACACTTTTTCTTCATATACACATGTACATATATACGCACTTATCACAACAACATTTTGCGAAACTAAGTATATTTCAGCCATTATCTAACTTCTATCTATATACTGTTACCTTAAAGGCTCTATCTAATAGCTTTTTTTCAATATTTTGAAGTTCCAATAGTTTAGTAAGCACCGAAATAACAAACTGGATTTTGAGCGAAAGTTAGTTAGGTCCTTTATAATATTAAGGTAACTATAAACATTAAAAGTATGTCGATATGTTTGCGAACGCAAACAGGTGGGTAAAGTTATTTTGCATTGTAATATTACGTTCTCATTGAGCCATTAACTCGAGTTTAACGTTTTGAGTTTATGAACAACTGTCAAGCGTTCACATTGGGGTGTTTAAGAAACTCAGAGTTTAATTTGACATTTTTTTGTTTACTTTTTCTTATTCTCATTTAGTCTGTTCCCGTACTACAGGAGTTAACACACACACACATAAGTCTAGAATACCAACCGTTTAGCTATAAAAAAACAAGAAATAAGGATCGATAGAACTTTTTACGCTAATTTCAACCATACCAAAATTGTTTGGTGCAAATAAAAACCAAAGCCAATAAAAGAGGTTAAAGTTCAACTTAACTATTTCTTATGTGGTTAATATCTCAGAAACTAGTTAACCGATTAAAAAATTATTGATGCTAGTTTCAACATAATTTAAATGCCTTTTATGCAAGCTATATACTATAACCAGTTTTAGAACTAATTTTATATAAACTACATTTAAAAATATATATTTTTATTTTATTTTTTTTTTAGTATTTCTGGACTAAAAATATAAAAAGGCATATAAATTATATACATTCATGAAAGAAAAATTAATTATCTTTATTTTGACGTCATTAGTTTTTTAATAGGTTATGTTGTTCAGAAGATATTAATATTAAAAAAAAATCAGAAAATTTAACTTTAACCACTGATATTTTTTTTATATTTTAATTTCGCCAGGTAATTTTGGTAGGGTTGAAATCAGCACAAAAAGTTCTGTCGAGCCACATTTTTGGTTTTTGCATCGCTAGATTGTTGATATTCTAGACTTACGTGCACAGAACGACTTCGGACTAATTCTGATTAAATCCTGCAGTGCGGGAATAGACTAACTGTCGGCAGGTTGGTTGCAAGTTTGGATTATCAAAGACACAAACCGAATCGGGTCAAAAAAAAGGGTTGCATTCGCATAAACTCCAAATAAAAGTGGTGTTTAAGGAGAGTTTAACGAAATTTTTTGTATGGTAAACTCCGAGTTTAAGAGTAGAGTTAAGGCTTAAACTCCAAAATGGCCCATAAACACGAGTTAGTGGCTCAATGTGAATGCCTTATTAGGGTAATATGTAAGAGTTTAAATCAAATCGGTTCATAAATAGATATATTCTAAGCATATCGACTCTAGCGCCACTTGGCTGTACCTACTAAGAACCTACTAAATCGGTCCATAAATGAAATTTTTCTTAATATCTCGACTAGAGCGCCATCTAGCTGGTATATTTTCTGCAAGGTTAACTCCTATTTTAAGGGCAATATACATACTAAGCTTGAATAATATTGGACCATAAATACGGGTTTTCTAAATATCTCAACCCCACCGGCACATAACGAGTTATTTGGGATGCCTTAGCAATAACAAAAAATATCGACTTTATTTTATGATATGTGTAGAGGTATTAATACATATTTATACATGTACATATAGTTCAGTTTAGTGATCAACGAATGTAGTTCGGGATTGGTGGGTATCGATTCTTTGTATAAAAACAGCTAGTTTTTAATTACTTGTATACATAACGCTCGTATCTTTTTTCGGACAAGAATTGTATTTTGCTGCAAAAAAAAAAAAATCTGTACAAAAATTGGAAAAATTCAACAAAGTTGCACAACTACAACTTTTTAGTTTGAAGTGTCCAAAAATAATCGCTGATTTTTGAAATTTTGCATGCTACTATACTTGAATTTAACAGGCTAAAACTTAGATTTTTTTTTTAATTACGTTTCAATAGTTAAAATGTTTTTAATTTTTCAACCAAGTTCTAAAAGTGAATTTATTTGGTTTTTAATTATTATGTATATCATTGACTAGATTTTACTAAAAGATAAATAAACATTAAACAAACCAAAGAGGGTAGAGGATCAAAAGTGGTATTTCTGAGGTTTCTCCACTTAATCCAATGTATTTTCCGAACTTCTAATTCCATATAATTTTATAAATACGTTATGGAAAGCTAATAGTGTTTTCGTTTCTTCCAAAAAATGTTGCCCTTCCCCGGTGCAAAATGTGGTTGATGTTACACTCAACCCTGTAAAAAGGCATGTTTTTGCCTTCTTGTCCTTGTCTAGCTCATTTCCTAATATTGTCGTATTTCTTAATATTGTCGTTTTAAACAACCATCTCCCCTGACAAAGCTTTACAGGGCAGAGAATGTGCCTTTTTTGCTTTACAACGTGTGAAATTTTAGAAATGAACACAAAATTTTCTCACCGTTTGCCTTTAATTTAGAATCGAACACAAAAAAGAGAATGGGGCTATCAAAAGGAGAAACGAAATCACCATCTATATACATTTACAATTTCTTTTACAGAAAGACCTTCAATAAGCTCTATATCAGAAATTCCAGTACTGCTACTTTCGGTGGCATCTGGAAAATAGTTGTCATCCCCCGTATCGTCAGAATTTACCGATTTATTTAAGAGGTTCAGTATGTTTGGGGAAATTTCTCTTTTATTTTTTTAGAGGTGGCACACGAAATAAGTTTATAAAAGGATCTGATGTAATAAGTATCACATTGAGGAATTCTCTATTTGTATTAAATGGGAAGATTTTCGCGTGTGGAATGTTCTAAAACGTCTGCAGTCTTTATTTCTGACTTCTTGCAATGGAATCAAATGCTGATAGAAAACCAACAACAACAAAGCTTTTAAGTTACTTATCCTTTCGTTCAGGAATTCAATTGTACATTTTTTTTTAATTTTTGGCGCAATTGCGCTAATTGTATTTCTAAAATAACGACTTTTTTTAATATGGGTAACTTTTCACTCAAATAACAAACTAATTTCTCTCTTCGAGCTGCTTTTGGAACCAGGGTTGGGCAGGATGCACTAAATTTTTAATGCACTGAGCAGTTCAATACCACTATTCGTGTAGTGGTAGTGAAATTAGGAATGCGTTAGCTCTAAGTGCATAGTGGCAGTGAAAACAATTTGTCACTACCACTAACCATGCAGTGCTGTTCTCATGCTTACGTATGCATACGAAATATTTTTCTGTTCAACGTAAATGTCTAGACATGAATATACTATAACTTAATGAGAGCTATTATCTGCACATATGTATATAAATTTGACTGCTTTATTTAGTATGTACGTGGTTGTATATATGTACATATATACATTAGGATTGTCCAAAAAAGTAAAGTCGAAATTTTAATGCCACCTCCAGGATTGTTCTATACTCTACGCCTAGTTATTATTTCGCTCAAAGACCTCAAAGTTTTC